TTTTTTTTTTTGTGAAAACTTTCCCCCAACAAAGTAGTCGAGCACGTAGTGAGCTGAACGTAAGTGTGAGCGTAAATTATGACAATCCCATCAATTATTGTTTTGCGTTTTATTCATTTTTATATCGTATGCCGCCAGTTACTACAGATGTCAAGGGGTATATTAAGCTGTGTGCGGACGCGTACAACAACGCGAAGAATTTGAAACAGGCCCACCCTTTTATTATACCGATCAGAATTACATTCTGAATTGATCTAAACTTGCCCGTCCGTCTGTCCATCTTATGTGGGTGTGTGTATTCTTTTATTCAACCTGTAGGTCATCATTTTCGATCTATTTCGATGAAATATCGTACACTGACTTCTTTCGGTCCAAGAGCAAAACGCTTTCTCCACCGTTTCTCATCTAACGCCTTATTTCGTTATATATAAATAAAAAATTATATATATAAATCAAATTAAATAAATAAAAACACTATAGTGAGACACTAATCTCCATTAAATGCCCTACACCACTTCGCTTAATACAGTTATTCATGAAACTACTTTTCAAAATAAGACATTACTTTGGAAATAATTGAAAAAGCAGCCCGATCCGTACCATTTTCAACAGCGTTCGTCCTTGGGCCAAAATATGTTAGTGTTTTAAATTTGATCAAATTATTCCAAAATTGTGACCTGTAGATTAAGCAAAAGAAACAAGATGGACGGATGGACGGACAAAGTGGGTCTACCTCAAATTCTTCTGCGTATTGCATACATCGCCACAAGCTGGTACTACAAGTGATGCAGGGTATAAAGATTGTATTCCTGACACTTTTTACGGGTTCTAATTCTCATTGCCGGCACTCAAATGATGGAGTGATACTAATAGTAGACCTTCATCATACAGTAACGCTTACACCAGGATGCATAATAAATCATTAAATGTTTGAAAATCCTTTAGAACATCAAAACTGGGATATTAACTTCATTCTTTCGTCTCATATAGTAACGTTCGAACGTTTCTTTTTTATTCTTGGGGACTTTTCACTCGCTAAGATATTGAATTTAGGGAAGATACGCTGATGACTACAACTAGCTTCTCTTGTTAATTGCAATCGTAGTCCTTAAGACCTCAAGTAAGAAAATTTACCTTACCCTTAGAGTAATAACCCTTCTATAAATCGCAAGTCACTATAGCGTCCAACAAGTTAAATCATTTCAGCTAGAAGGGACCCTCCGATGAATTTCCTACACCATCTCGCTTAATCAGATTTTTCATCCATTTTGTCGGACAGTGCCAAAAACAGTATCTTATTACTCTGTAAAGGCTTACTTCTCATGAGTATCATTATATGACAGCGGGCACAAAACGGGAACCGATTCGATCCAAACTTCGTACAGTTATTTTTTGCTCAAATAATTTATTACTTTAATATAGTTATATAGTCATCTTAAAATAAAAAAAAATTGCACCTTATTACCAAACACGAACTTACTGTTCTTGAGAACTCGTGATACGGGAAGATTTTCGCAAAATAAATTTATGCAGTGCAAATGCTGCAGAAATTCTACATGTCAAATCTCGATCCTTGGACAATTTTTATGGCAAGAGTAGCTGAGTAGTTAAGAACCACGACTAACAAATCAATATTCGCGGGTTCAAATCTCGGTGCGGTAGAGTGTTCGTCGGTCGTAGCTATAGTGAGTATTCACTAGGCGGTAAAGGCGTAACACTCGCCGATTGGGCGCACAGATTCACTAGTCTGCGGCCACCTTCCCTATATCTTCCCCTTTATTCACTTTTTCTTCTTTCTGGCTGCCACCGTTTTACACGAATCGGTGACATCCTCTGAGTGATTGAGATTAAAAAAAAGAAAAAAGAGCATTGTTGCCTTATGAAAGCTTATTTTTTGTATAAACGATCCTATGGGAGGGAAGTGAGCCGAACTTTCTATATATATTTAGTATACAAAATTATTATTTTCCAACCCCTTATTTCGAGAAGTATTTAAAATCACTAGATTTTATGCTCCCCATTACTTCTGGCACAAGGTATATTAAGGTTGTATGGATGTATGTGTAACACGAAGCAGGCGATTTGTCTATGAGAAAATCTTTGTATGAAAAAATTTACAATTTTCACAATTTCTCGACAAAATTCGCTTAATAGAATAGTTTTCCGAAATATAAAATGAATAAGGAAAATTCATATCGAATGATCCAATTTTTTTTGATCTTCCTCCAATATAACAGCCCCTAGAAAAATTAAATTTTTATGGGGCGAAAAAGTCTAATTTATAGTATTTTATAATCAAAATTATATCGTAACATCAATTTGGCATAAAAATTAATTGGGCATCATCTTAATGATATACATCCATGTAAGAACCCCCTTGAAAAGTATATCTTTATATAGAAAAAAAGTATAATTTGCATTAAAAAAGAAATTTAATTAGGCAAACGAATGACCGTGATCGACTTGTTACGCTTGTATGGACGTATGCATCTAAGGTGCAGCACGCAAAAGAACTGGAGATAGATATTATGATGCCGGCCTATCCAGATTCACTTTTTGAATGGATCTAGGCTTGTCTCTCCATCTTGTTTGCTTTCGTGCAACCTACGAGTACAGTTTTTGAGATACTTTGATGATAGTTGGAACGGTAACGTATTTTGGCCTATTTTGGCGAACGTTAGTGAGAATGACTCCGATGGGAGCACTTTTTCTGCCTTCTCGCATATAATGCTCTATTTTAAAAAGTATAATTGTAACGTGATGTAGGGCATTTAAGCGTGGCTTATGCCGCAATTTTCGTTTTGGTTACGTTAAGTACGAAACGACTTTTAATAGAACAAAGCGTCTAAGGCCACATTCCATTATACTAATTTTATTTAAAATATATATATATAAATATATTATATATATATATTTTTATATATTTTGCTTAGAAAAAATCGAAATATCAACCAAAGTTAAGCGGGAAGAGAAACTTAAGAAATACCTTATGACCAGTGCCAATAAATACTAATGCGAAAAAGTTTTCAAAGATCTGGAACTTTCCTAATTTTGTATTTCCCATTTTTATAGCACACACTGAAACTTCGCCTAGCAACCATGTTATTGGCTAATATATAGTTTCCTTTTCTCAACGTTGTAACTTGCATTTAAAAGAGGATTAATTATAACGAATATGTTTGAACACTAGGAATTGCAACTCGACTGAGCACATCAAGCGCATACCGTTATATGCAACTATGCGAATTGTGTGTATGCATCCTAGACTTCTCCTTGAGAGGTTGAAACACAGAAGCATCAAAAATCGTTCAACTTCGCCCTGCTACCAAAGATAATATATTTAAAAAACTACGTGTACCTGCATGCCAAGGTATTTAGAGAAGATGTAAAAATCAAATAATCCTTGTATGAATGTTTCAGCTTAAAAGTGGATTTTGTTTGGCATTAATATGATTCAAGAGAGAAAATAGCTTACTTACTATTTATTGATTTGGCATCTCGACTCCATTTGTATTTAAAAGCAAAAAATTGTTTTGATGTTAAATTTTAGATTAACATCCATTCGTAAAAGTATTGTTTACTCTCATTAATTTCTTTTTCCTTATTATTATTTAATTACAGATTCACATAATAGACTGAAACGTCCACCCACATCTGCCACAGATAAGACACCACTTACAAAACCATCTGGACCACCAAGCAAGGTATGTGGTTCTATTTACTGCATTTTTCAATTCAATCTACAAAATGCATGCATTTTTGAACCGTTATTTATTTTATTCCACAATACATTTCATTGAGCACACTACCGGCATATGGACTTATTAATTACACATTAATGCACTGTATATAGTACAATATTTGTGTGTTTGCTTGCTTTAAACACGCGTTCATTTTAAACTCGACTTGATCAACACTGAAAAGACAGACTGACAGGAAAATCGAAATTGCTTATACTTAACGATTACCTGGTAGCGGGAAAGATACTGCAATCCAAAGAAACTGTCGCTAAAGCAGATCGTAAATAACAACCAATGCAATGGCAAACACGCTTTATAGGTTCACGTCCGATTAACAGCAAACCGGACCGATGAAAAACTGGTCAGAATTTATTTTTACAGCTGGTCCGCAACCGCATTAATTGCCCAAAGATACAAAATTGAAGGCTAAGCTTATGATTATGAATATTTTAGACAAAAATTCGAAATCTCAACGAAGCGTCTGTCACCCGGATGTAGTTCAATCGATTGCCTAATTCATGGATGATCGATCCAAAGTGTATATATCTTATTAAATATTCAAGTATTTATTATCAATATATTTGATAGACTTAAAGGCTTCCGGATAACTTAGATCATATGCTCGCCTATATTGAAAACTCTGCCGGATTTGAGATTTGAAACCGCGAACATTGAGTTTTTAGTCGTGATTCTTGGCCCATTCGGTTGCTCAAGTGGCCATCTCATTAAATATTTTCGCATTTTTCGCATCGTCTTGCAAACATTTGGCCCAAGGTTGTAAAATGCTTACGTCCATGTCATCTAAGTTTCATGCGATATTATATATACCCGCCAGATCCTCAATTTTCTAAGTGTTATTATATGAATAGCGGTAAGGATGACGATTTTACGCTTTCCATAGATGAGACCCAGGATCGATTTCACCGATTGTCGAAAGTCATTTCACCAAAAATGAAAGAGAAAACATAACTGAAGCTTTGTACTCTAGATAGAGTAGTCTTGATTTTGCACAGACAGGCATACAGCCAAGTTAATGAAATTGCATATATTCCAGTCACTTAATTAACCCTTTGTCATACCCAAAATATCACACGGTAACGCATGCACAATACTATATAACTTATTCTAATTAGCGTAATACGCATAGCGTGTTAATATGCTCGTATGCCTAATAACAAAGAAAAAAAGATTATTTTATTGACACCAGAGCTGCCGACGCTTATACCGTTCTTACCTTGATAACCGGGATCATCTTGATTGCCGTTGTCTAGGAAACCATTTCAGTCGTTATATTTATTTACTCATTTGTTCATAAATGCTACAGTGAGATTCAACTGTACTCCGCAATTCATACATTTGAAAGCTTAACCTAATTGCAACTCAAGCGAGAAAAATATTAAAATAGCATGAACATCATTACGCATCAATTCACCCACACCCTACTGCATCATTTCTTAGATATAAGCACAGCTCATTAATAGGTAAGTTTAGGTAAGACGTCGGCAGTACACGGGCATTAAAAAATTCAGTTTTAACTGAACCAACAGGACTCGATGAGGAAATTAGGTTATAAATCTTATTTAGATTGTGACAGAGAACCCTAATTGGGTTGAAAAGCTTATAATTTAGCCTTCATTGACCAAGTTTGATGAAAAGAAAATTCCTGGTCGAACGGATAGGAACATTAAAATTGATCGCAATTAACAAAATGGGCGAGTCGATGGCGGTATTAATCAACTTTACCATGAAAGCAACGCCTAATGTCATCTCAGTTTTCTCTAGTGACGGCAAGGTTATAAATAGCAACCTATTTTCATAAGGACTTTAGGGAACACGTGAACACTGCTATCTAAATATCTTAGAGCAAAAAGCAGAAGCTGTCGCTGCCAAGATTTTGCGGTATTTACGTGTCAACGATACGAAGGTGACCATAAGACCGAAGCATATTTCAATCCAGATCGTACCAAACTGACTTATATACTTCCGATCAGCTATGGATAGTGAAATTCCTTCGACCAGACTTTGATAAAACCTAGCATTAATCGAGCTTTATTCACACAATATTCAACAAACAAATTGAATCGAAGCTTATGATCAAATAGGATACCTAAGTCCTGAAATGAAACAATGCTCCCCGACTTAAGTGAGCGTGGAAACTGTTCCGTTGCGAACAAATTCCGCCCCGAAAATGACTGCTTCTAACATCCCTTTTGATTTAACTTCATGCTAAGGAAGGAAGTTAGCTTGGCGGGGACATGATTGAATTTCCGAATTAACAGACAAGAAATGTAAGAGTTTTCAACATGATGCCCATGACCACTTTTATGAGATGGTGGGAGAACAAAACTAGTTTTCCAAAGCGGCGGAAACATATCCATCTCAAGAGAACGATCGAGAATGTATCGACTAGAAAGCATGAAAGAATTTTCCACATTTTGTTAAGGTTGTCTCGGTTTCTAATCTGTGATAGAGGTGTATGCGGACACATCATAGCCATTTTGTAACCGTCCATTTCAGCTTTTTTGCGATTATTGCAAATTCGCTTTTAGTATCAACAAATGTATGCTGCTGGTACGAGATTAAGTACAAAAAAAAAAAAAGAAACTAGTAGTTGTAGGTATTTGAAGATCTTTTCATATAAGTCAAAGTCAGCAAAAAATTGTAGATGCCATCACCTCGAAGATTAAGAAAATTAAAGACGACCAACATGACTTACTCGGTTGTAATTCTAGTCTAGTGTTAACAGTATTCGAGAGTAAATCTCGAGTTTTGAGTTTGTGTTGATTTTAAGCTAATCTACGTATGTACGAAACGTTTTTGGTGATTATTTGTATGTAAAATAACGAAAGAATTTAAAGTCGGTTTTGCTTCTCTTGACGGAGAGTTGTGTGAAGTTGCAAACATGATTTCAACGGATAATATTTCGGACAGACAGGGTTAAATCGATTGTCTTGTTCGTTGCACGATCAAAAGTACACATTTTCATCATTTAATGGGCTCTTCGATGCCTACTTTTATGCGTTAGAAATATTTGACAAATTCATTATATCGCCTCTCCTGGATATACTATAAGAAAACAACAACGTTCGGTGAATTGCAATTGAACGTCCGAACGAATGCTTTTTCGTTACAAAAAAAAAAAAAAAAAAAAAAAAAAAATTCATCGCCTTGTGTATAAATATAATAAATAAAACTGATAATGAAATTTATACACAATTTGCGGTATTATGCGGCCGTAATTTGTGCTATTGAGTGTTTCCAAATTCTTATCAATGATTTAAATTTAATTTACTTTCATCACCTACCATCAACCACCAATGCAAATTGTTTTTTTTTTTTTGCTTTAATATTAGTTCATTTTGTTATTGGCAGACCACGCGTTTGTAAAAATCTATTGAGTTAATAGCTGTGGTAGATAGGTGTTGGAAAAGTTACGTTAGAGAGGTGTGCACCACCGCAGAGCACACGAAAGGAAAAATATAAGGCAGATATGTGTTGTTTCTTTCAGTCTTTATAGAGAAAATTTCGTTTATAGTCATATGCGCGCATAGCTATTATTAACTGTAATACAAACTAACACATAATCACAAAAACAGTTTTTACGATGTTCTAATAAGTGTATAAACATTGCATTACATTCTCTGAATCCAATTCTCCTTCAATACCATAACAGTGGTGTTAATGATGACGATCATGATCGTCTGTAAGCGGCGTACTGCTAACACATTGGCACAATTCCCTCGTTATAAACAAACAAACAAGCCGCACACAATAAAATAAAAACATTCTTATTCAAGTTGTATATATATAAAGATACGCCTTACGTACGCTTTTAAGTGTGCTCTTGTGTATGTTGTCGATGATGCAAAAGGAACAAAAGCTAATGTAACGTATAATTTATTTAAGAACTACTCTCAAGAACGGAAAGAACGACCGCTATTCTTTTTTTGCTCTGTCCATCAGTTTCACATGTACATACGTACATACAAATGCACTTATATGGTCATAGCCAGTGCGCTGTCTACTCTATATTTGCTTTCTACAAATGTACAAATTACAATAGAGGCCAACTATAGTCGCAAATAAGAGTTCCCTTAAAATTTATGCACCATTTTAGCTTGACCACAGTTTCGATCAAAGTAAAATTTAGCTATGTTAATAAAGAGTATTGAGCTTTCCAGTTACGCGATAACATCGAAATGTCAACGTATGTATGAAACGAACCCGATCCCGTATACTGCAATTTTGATTTCTTATGGTTTTTCTACTTATTATTGATGGATTAAGGTAATGTGGCGTTAACATCAAGTCTGGGAAGACGGACTAACTAACGTATAAATGCAGCCAAAGTGTTTGAAAACCCTTGCATTATTTTTAAGCAAAAACCATTAGCAAAAGCGAAAGTAGATCCAATCGATTTTATTTATTTTTTTTTTTTTGAGGAACTGTCAACATCGAAGAGGACCCTTGCTGTGTTCGGTCATTCATTACGCAGCCTTAATATCGTTATAAGTGGTAAAAATACCCTACCTTAGTTGGCAATGTGAAACGATTAGACGCAAGTTAATTAAAGAAGAATTCCAACATTTCATTTTCATATGATTTGAGCTCAAATATTTCGCGTACTTGCTGTGAAGTAGTACTACTTTGACTGCGTGCTGTTCGATGACGGACTAAGTGAGACGACGGCACTCAGCATACAACAACTGTGGCTAACCCATATGCTTAGTGCTCTAAGTAATGGCATCCTATGCAGGCATATCTTTTGATCTGGCGAAGACAAGGCCTATCTGATTCATTTTGTTTTCTATAGGTCAAGGACTTGGAGTTGATTTAAGTGCATCTGCACACCTGAACTTGATCTAAGCGTTAATTTAATTCTCGAAGCCCAAGAAATTGATTATTGAATCTAACAATCGCGCAGTCTTGTAGTTGTAGATCAATATTAATGACTTTAAAGCGAC